AATGAATGGCTTACGAGATCCTTCACGGCCGTAGTGGTAAAAAACGCTATTAAATCTATGCATCCTTTTAAATCCCCATGGCCTGATGGGTTTAGTCCAGTCTTTTATTAAAAGTTTTGGCATATTATTGGTAATGAGATTACTTGTTTTGTTTTAAATTTTTTAAATAATGGGTAGTTTGTAAATAGCACCAACTACACACACATAGTTTTAATCCCAAAAACCCAGTCTCCTAATAAAATAACTCAATTCCATCCCATAAGTCTTTGTAACGTTGTTTACAAAATAGCATCAAAATGTCTAGCTAATAGGCTGAGGAATACCCTCCCTAAGGTCATCTCTGATTCCCAGTCAGTTTTCATACCCGGCCGTCTCATCACGGACAATGTCATAGTTGCTTATGAGACACATCATTACATGAAGCATAGGGTTTCGGGAAATAGAAATTATATGTCAGTAAAGCTTGATATGAGTAAGGCGTTTGACAGAGTTGAGTGGAGTTTTATTTGGGCAGTAATGCGAGCCTTGGGTTATCGGGACTCGTTCATAAGCAAAATAAATAAGTGTGTTACGACGACCACTTGTTCTTTCTTACTGAATGGATGTCAATTTGGATCTCTTACTCCGGAGAGGGGCCTAAGGCAAGGAGATCCCCTCTCCCCTTATCTGTTCATCATTTGCTCAGAAGTATTTTCTCTAATCTTGCAGGATCTTCAAGCCACAGGGAGAATACACGTAGTCAAAGTGTCAGATTCAGCCCCTTCTATTTCCCATCTGTTTTTCTCGGATGACACACTACTCTTTGGGGAAGCTACAACTTAAGAGGCCGGGAATTTGAAGTATGCCATCTCCTTGTATGAGTCTGTTTCGGGTCAAAAAATCAATTATGACAAATCAGGAGTTTACTTCAGCTTTAATGTGGCGGCGAATGAAATCACCTCCATCTCTGCAACTCTCGAAATCCCTCAGGTCTCGGGTCATGGCAAGTATTTAGGTCTTCCTAGTTTCATTGGAAGAAACAAGAGGAAAGTTTTTGGGGACTTAAAAGGATCGAATCTGGAAAAGAATCCAAGGCTGGAAAAAGAAGAACTTAACGAAAGCTGGTAAAGAGGTGCTTATCAAGTCAGTCATACAATCTATTCCGATGTATACAATGTCGTGTTTTCGAATTCCTAACAACATCCTCGAGGAGATTGAAGGCATGGTTGCTGATGTTTGGTGGGGAGAGAAGGATGGCTCAAAGAAAATGCATTGAACGTCTTGGGATAAGTTGGCAATTGGAAAGCAAAAGTACGGACTAGATTTTTGAAACTTGTATTCTTTTAATCTCACCATGCTTTGCAAACAATCCTGGCGGTTGATCACGAATCAATCCTCGCTGCTATCCAGAGTTTTGAAAGCCAAGTACTATCCAAATTCTTCATTTTTTTTTATGCTGAGTTGGGAACCGATCCATCTTGGTCCCAGCGAAGCATTTTGGAAAGCAAAAAGGTACTACAACTTGGCTGCTTGAAGAAGATATGATCCGGAAATCAGACCAGGATTTGGCTGGATCCGTGGCTTCCCCGAGCTTCAGACTTCGTCCGTGTGTGATGCTCATGACGGATGCTTATGTGTCAGCACTTATCGACCACGCAACGGGTTGCTGGAAGTTTGATCTAGTCAGATCAATATTTTCCTCGTCAGAAGCTGAGTTGATCTTTGAGATGGTTCCGGGACGAGTAGACCATCAAGATGTTTGGAGCTGGTTCTATACAGAAAGCAAAAAGTTCACGGTTCAATCGGCATATCATGCGATTCTGGAGGCTGATTTTTTGCCGATCACAAGCTCTACAGCTCTGCCTGTGAATGCAAGTCCCCCGCCGATCTGGAAACATATCTGGAAATTAAAAATCCAGGGTCGTCTACAACACTTCTTGGGGGTCAATATGTAATGAGACGTTGCCAACATCAGAAAATCTAGAACGAAGACACCTCCCTCAATCCGGTCTTTGCACAAATTGCAATAGTTCTGACATGTCCACAAAGCACCTCTTTTTCGGATGCCCTTTTGCTTCGGAAGTGTGGCGAACTGCAAAACTAAACAGCAGCACCAACATGACAGAGGCAGTGAATGGATACGAACTCTAATCCTTCAACTGGAGTTGGAGGATGCGGAGCTAGTTGCTACTATGCTGAATTGTATATGGTTCAAGAGAAATAAGACTTTGCATGAGAAAGAACTAATTGCTCCAGCAGAAACAGTGTTGATGGCTGGAAACATGTGCCGGAATTTTCTGAATGCAAATTTATGGCCGAAACGGACATCAAAAGCTCTCCATTCTCATCCAATCTTGGGTCATTCCTGATGGACCGAAAGTATGGTTTGATGGAGCAATTTCTCGGCTGCACAAGTGTGTTGGAGTAGGCATATGGTGTGCCGATGCTACGGGAACTTTTGTTGGGGGAGTAACCAAGAAATTTCAAGGCATACAGGATTCAGAAATAGCTGAATCTCTGGCACTCAGAGAAGCACTCATCTTTGCAAAGGACCACCAGCTCGTAAACTTCTCGATTTTGGGAGACTCTGTCAACATTATCATGGCTGCCTTAGATAATGTACTAGATCTCAACTAATTGGACCCGGTGATGAAGGACATACATCTTTTGATTCGTCTAATACATCTTTTAGGGATTTTTTTTATTAGATGTCTGGAAAATGCAATAGTTCATGATTTTGCATCTATGGCTAAGAATAGTGATAATGAATATTTTTTTTGGTTGCATGTTTCTATAATTCTTGTTCAAAAGCAGTTGGACGATTTCCAGTAAAAGTGAAGTGAATGAAAACTTTTCCTTTTTTTTTAAAAAAAAAAGCAAGAGTCCTGAATTACATTGATCATCACATTGGGAGTAGTAGTACTCTACTTGGTCCAGATTGATCACATCATTGGCCCAAAAAGTCTTGGGGTACTTATTGCTAAAGTAAAATTAGTCAATTGATGTGGCTCCTAATTATAGCTTTGGACACAGTTTAGGTCCTAACAAAGTGATTGAAGCTGTAACGATAGTATGACCTAGTTTCTGTGCTAGCCATCAAAACTATCCATCAAATCGAATAAATAGGCACTGTTTCAAAAAAAAAAAAAAAAATACCAGAGAAAATAAAGGCTTCCACGGAAACGGCATTATAGTTTCTCTCTTGCCCTGATTAGGACAATTAAAGATACTACTACTTCAATCTAAAATGATTGTGGTGTAGTATTTCTGTTTTATTGCACTGAAGAAATAATAAGAAAAGTTACTCTAATGAATTTCTGTTTTATTGCACTGAGGAAATATAATCAGAAAGAAAATTACTCTAGTTCTGGTGGCGTCCAAAGGTCATACTCACTTTACACTCCACCCCATCGAGCACTGATGAATGATCCAGAAACACTCTTTGTTGAATGGAAGTTCTATTCAATTGAGGTCTTTTACTCAGTTTGTCACATTATGTCTTTCAGCCGTGAAATCAAAACACAACCAAATCTGGAAAAAAAAAATAAAAAAAGTAGTCTTGATCTTTCTAATGAGCTTGGCAACGTGTCCACATGTGCAATGTGACTTAACAACATTGTGGCATTGCACATGCGTCTAGTTTGGCCGTTTGGGATACACAGATTTCAGTTCATCATGGACTCTAAAAGTTAAGAATTTTTTTTATATTTTTTTCACGTTCTGATGATGACTGTCGGATTCGAGCTCAAAATTTGACCAACTCAACAAAACCCAATCCACATTTATTCATTTCGAAATAATAGAGATTGAAAAAAGAAGAGAAAATAAGATTTAAGCCTTGCTAAGATGATCAACTCAAGTCTTAGAAATGAACCATATAACAATTTTTTTTTCTTTATTTCTAAACGTTCCACAAAAAGTAATTGATCTGTTATTTCAAAGTACTCCCTCCGTCCCATAATTAATGTTTTGAGTTTTCATTTTTAATTCAAATTGTACTAAAAGTGAAATCTCAAACTGAACAATAATTTTGGGACCGAGAGAGTATCTAATATATGCACGTATACCAGGTAAGAAAACTCACATATTAAATCAAAAACTAAGACTGAAAGTAGAATATTACTCCGAAAAATTGTCCCTATTGTTTTCGCATATAGATCTTTCAAAATGGTAGTCGGAAATCGGAATCATATGTGCAAACAAATATACAAATCCAACCAAACAGAATAAGACGATCTAAGTACCCCCAAAAAAAAAAATTACATGGTCCCCCGCGTCACCCCCAATAAGCCATTTTGCAATTTAGCCTCCACTGTTAGTGCTGGCTCACCTAATTATACTGAATTCTGTGACTGTGACACTGCAGGCGAAGGAAATTTTTTTTTATACTATCAACATTTTCGTGAATTCCCCCTATCTTTATCATTTCTAATGATAAATAAAAAACTAGTATTGAATATATATCGGACATTCATATATCTTATAATTTACACATTTCTGGTCCTAGTTCATCTGTGGGTATCCAGGTGCTGCCATGTTTCAAATTCTAGCTGGTTGTCCATTTTTGTAATACGATCCTAAATCAGCATGGTTTATTTGTTCAACGGTGTTAATATGGACCCATATGTAAGAAGCCATACACTTGAATTGATTCCATCATCATGACTTCTAAATAGTTCTTTATTTATTTTATTTTTTCTACGACCGAGTTATTATTACCGTCTCAAAATTTATTGATTTATTAAACTTTAATAATAAAAATATAAGAGTTCGATTTTAACTTAGTATTGTCGGGGCGATTAGAGATTATTTCTGGAAGTTTACACTTTTTCACTTATTTTTTTCCCGACCTTTCAACTATCACCAGAATGAATACCACATCAGTGGACAAATAATACGTAAGGGATAACTTTATTTATAATTTTTGCCATTTCTTAATCCATGAAATATACTAAACAAGTAGTACCAAGATCATGTTGTACTACTATAAAATAATGAAAAGAAGACAACTTTGCATGATGTGGATAATTTAATTTTGTTCATTGGTACGTATAATTGACCTCATTCCAATTGGTTCTTAGCTTAATGCCAATGACATCTCCTCAACTACTTAGCCAAAGTTAATGAAAACACGTATAACACTATTTTATCTTCACTTTTACTTTAAACTTCGTACTATCGAGAACCTAATTATTCTCAGAACAAAAAAACATTGTAGAATTGAAGACTTGAAGTGAATCATTGTGTGCCACCTAATAATGATTGCTTTGTGAGGAATGATCCGGTCGTGTAATATATATTTCTAGTCACATCACATTTTCTTAACACCAATGCTCCACATTTCAATGTCCTTTTTTTTTTTTTAAGAAGAGTGTGTGATTGTGTGTGTGCTGCTGCATGAATTGACGAGCCGGAAAATTAGGCCGTGCCCAGAGAATCAAAGGGTCAAGTGAAAATTTTGGTCTTAACAATGTCAGATTATTGTACGGAGGAGGAAAGTGTTGAATCAATCAGAAGAAGCCTTAGTGAAATATCAGAGGAAGAAACAGTGAGATTCAGTGTTGATCTTGTGGCTGCTGCAAGGCATAATCTTGGGTTCTTGAGGCTGGTGGCTGAATCTGATTGGCTTCACCACAAGTCCACCATTGTTGAATCCATCCGAAGGCAGGATTTTTCTTGTGTTCTCCTGGTTTATGCATGATTAAGTTGACCTGGGTTGTGATTATTTTTGAAAAAGTTGACAAATTTGTGGGAGAAAAAATGATGGTTTCGAAATTTGTGCAGATATGATCAGCTATGGATGCCACTCATCTCTGACCTTACTATGGGTTCTTCAACCTCAAGCCCTCCTCCTAGGTTGCTTCCTCCTCTTGATGTTGAATGGGTTTGGTTCTGTCACACCCTGAATCCGGTGAGCTTTAATTTCTCATCAAAGATCACCAATTGCCTCTTTGTTGATGGATTGCTATGATGATTAGAAATTGGTCTTGTGTAAAAGTTGCAGTCTTGCTCAGGGGAATAATTAGGTAGCAGCCTTCAAGGTTTTCTCACTGTGACTTTTGATTAATTTATAGTTTGTTTATTGGTCTCAATTTCAGGTCAGTTATAGGGAGTATTGTGAGTCAAAATTCTCGAAGTTAATTGGGAAAGCGGCCATCTTTGACGAGGAAAATGAAGAGTATGCTGTGAACAGATGCAGAGAAATTTGGGAGCAAAGATATCCATCTGAGCCTTTTGAGAACGAGTATGATTTCGATTCGGAAACTCCCTATGTTGTAAATGAAGATATTCTGAATCAAGTGACCAAGCAAAGGCATTTACACTCCAAATTCAGTGAGCCATTCAGGTCGGAAGTTGTGTATTTGATGGCAGCAAGGCAGAGGTATAAAGGCTTCCTGTACAGTATGAGCAGAGTTGCTGGAAGGTGCTGCCATTTGGTGCCCACTTCAGATATTCTATTGATGTTGCTTACCCATCAGGTTGGTGAACTCTACACTTTCTACTGTTTCTTTTGCAATGCTGTCTACATTAAGATGATGACGGCCTGTAAAACATTATGGAGTTAGTTGGACATCTAAATTTAAATTTACTTTTCTTTCGCTTAATCATGAATCCATGTTCTCTAAATGTATAATCGTCTCACTCTGCACTAAACAAAAATTTGAATTAATGTTTCTCTGTTTGTGTGGCGTGGCTATGTTGATAGCTGGAACTGCGCTAGATTATGAAGGTTCAAGGGGTTCATTCTTCCGAACTTAGGTCAGGAACATTAGGAAAAAACTTCGAAATTATATAGTCTAATCCCGTGGGTTAGTCATGTTAAGGTTTTCCTATAGGTAAGTAATTGCGAGTAAGACCCATATGAAGTGTGGAACCATGGTTTATAAAATCATGCCACCTGCAAAATATCTGTTGGAAGTAAAATTTCTGAAGCAAAAGAGTAAAGAGCTTTTATACACTCAATAACTTTTATGTATGCATATAGTTGAAGTTGGAAAATTTGGTTGATTTATTAGAGGTCGTGGTACGGAGGATTTTGCTTCCTAGTTTTGTTTACATATAGCTTCCATATTTGGCTGCGAAAAACTCTGTTAATCCCAAAATGCCATACTGGAAAAAAAAAATGTCTGCGTAAGAAATGGACAAGATCAAGATTCTATCACTTCAAATAGTAATTGCATCATCATAACAGTATAAGTTGAGATGTGGTGAATTTGTTTGTTTATTGCCTTTGATTCATTTTGTTAGAGCTATCCTACAGCATATGCTGTAGACTGTACGGAGTTCGAAGGGCACATCAAGAAGGTGTCTTGTTCATGGGATACTGTGAAGGAAGACGCAATAGCAGAAACAAAAGATCTTTGGGAGGAAGTTTTTGACCAACCATATGAGAAAGCTGGTTGCTTAGCCATTGGCAGAAGCAATGTCAAACTACCTTTATATTGGGATGTCACGGATATTGATGTCAACACTAAGTACAAGTCTCTGATGCCAAGGTTCTTACTTGAGGTAAGTCTTCTTCATAAAACAGTATTAAATTAGCAATCCAAAGTTCTGAATGATTTGTCTTGTTAAGTACCTCTCAGTCTGTCAGTCTTAGCACTTGGGAGGCTGGGACTAAAAGTTGTATGTGATTGACTCTGATTGTCTAAGTAAACAAACTCACTTGGATTTCCTCACCTACTAAGGGCATTTCCACCTGGAAAATCACTTCAATGTTCTCTTTATTTATTTTATTTTATTGAAAAACCACTCCAACTTTGATTGGCTACCACTCACATATAGTTTGTTGGAATTTCTTTTCATTTGTAAACTGTAATGTACGACACAATTTTCAAAGATCTTCAAGCTTATTAGTTATTACTGCACAGCTCCACATTCTACCATTTTAATTTTAGCATTTTCTCCCTGTGATCTAGGAATAAGAACTTCAAATTAATATTACAATGATAATGATAATCTGGCCCTAAGAGGCAGCATGATTGAAACCAGTTTCATCTCATAAGGTTGCAAAATTCTTGGTGAAAATCTTTTCACACTTACATTAGACTTCACACCAAAATCTGTGTTCTTTTAGAGGGTTAATATAAGGATTTTTTTCCATGGGTTATAAAAGTACCTCGGAAACTTCGAAAGATCTAGACCACCTGCATTTTACCTATCTGGACTGATAATGAAGAATTTTTGACACATCAGAACAAGATCATGACATTCTTGTCTTTACCTATGGGAAAGCTAAGAAGTCTTGAAGGCTTTATTTAATTTGCCACAATTAGCATCATTGAGGCAGATGTGTAAATGGTGTTAATTAGTTCTGTTTGCATATCATTGTTAATTTGAACTTGAAATCTTAATGAGGCTGAGGAGAGAAGAACAATCCATATGATGTTTACTATCTGACTTGCCTGAATGAATTCTTAGTTATTGCTACAAATCCTTTAGAGTCCAGGAGCAACTGACAAGCTAAATACTCAGGAAAAAAAAACTATATTGTGTCGTTCAGATGATTAATTGGTTTTTTACTATCATATGCAGTTTTGTGTATCAGTGAAGTTAAAGGGAAAGCCAAGCGTGATGACGAAGAGAGATATCTCAAACAAGATTCTTCGTCTTCGATTTGCTAGATGTCATAAGGAACTAAGATTGGATAAACCAGTAGTGGAGTTTAAATCAGGGTCATGGCATAAAGCTTGGCATCTTTACTGCGAGTTTGGGACTAAAGGAGCAACACTTGAACTTCGTGAGATAGGAGGCCTCTTGTTTAAACGGGATACCAGACTTAGCACCCTTACATTTCTTTGGAATGATCTACTACGGACTCGCACTCTTTCTTTCTCAAAAGAAATTGATGACCTGATTAGAGCAGATGCTTCAATCACTCCACCTGTTCAAGCACCCTACTTGTTGAAATGCGTTTCAGACCGGGTCACGGATGATTCAGGAACGATGATATCAGATCTTATCCTGAAAATGAACCAATATCGACCTCAGGAAGGACGGTGGCTGTCACGGACAGTCCTTGATCATGCAGGAAGAGAGTGTTTCGTGATTCGAATGAGGTAATTCAACAACACACTGTCACTTCAGTATTTAGCTCGTGTACTAATGCTTATTGTCACTTTTCAGTATCTAGCTTCTATACTAATACTTCTTTATTCCCAATACCCAATAAACAATGATAGAATGGGAGGAGGCATTTGGAGGAGAGGTGGAGAGACACCTTCAGCAGTGAGATGGGAGGACAGGATCACGGAGATTCGCGAAGGTTCTTGGTCCTATGTTGCTAGTTCGATTGGCAAGGCTCCTGGTATGTGAATATCACCTCTTAACTTTGTATTGAGAAATGACACTGCTCAACTTGATTTTGTTCTCATTATTAGACATGGCAACTTGGCCTTCAGAAGCCCTTCAAGTTTTTCGTTCAACTTAGCTGTTTCCAGGCCATTAAAATTCTCACTGGCACGCATTATTATCTAGTGCAGAGAAAGTTGTAGGGACTGCAACACCTCAAGAACCTACTGAAGGATGGCAGGCTTCATGGAATTTGTCGACAGGGGATGAACTATTAGTATCTCGTGGATCAACGACCTCTACTTCTGGTTTCTACTTTGAAGTGAAAGACAAGAACTCTACGGATACAAAGGTAATGAAGCATAAAGTTACATTCCCACTTTGCAACACAATTTTTACATCATGCCTGTATCAATCACCTCAAAAATGACTTCTATGGTTCAGGTAAGGTTGTTGAAAGGGAGGAAAATGCAGTATCAAGACAAGAAGTTTAGCTTAGAGGATCATCAACTAGAAGACCAAGAAGATGATGATGATGACGACGATGGTTTTGTAACGTTAGTGAGATTCTCTGAGGAGAACCCAACTGGAAAAGCAACAGCACTCCTAAACTGGAAGTTACTAATGGTGGAAGTCTTGCCTGAAGAAGATGTAGTATTGGGACTACTTCTGTGCATATCGATATTAAGAAGCATATCAGAAATCGAGAAAGAAGACGTAGGGAACCTGTTGATCAGGAGAAGGATAAGAGAACCAAAGATTGGCGAAAAGGATTGGGGATCGGTGATGCTCCATCCATCTTCATATTCAGAGGTGATGCCGTCCTGCATTTCTTCGCCGTTCCTCCAACCTTGGTATTGGAATGCCAGAGCAGTAATGGGTTCACAAATGATGATGAATAATGTATCACGGCAGCCACCTGGTGTGAACCTTAACTACTCACCTGCAGAAGGTGGAGATAAATTGTACAAGAGCGGCATTTTTGCTCGGAAAATGTAGGTGGAATAAGTTTTGTACTACAACAAAATGAAATCAGAATGTGTTGAACCTGTTAAGAGGGGCTGAGAGTATACATTATTAATCCATAGAGAACGTTTGTAATTGATGCGCGGTAATTTGGAAAATCAAATCTTCGTGAGGATTTCATTTGCGCAACTCAATCTCGTTGAAGAAATGCAGGAGTATTGAGATGCAATTTACAAGGAACATTACTTGGTGCAAAAAAAAGGAAAAAAAAAAAAACCTACTTAATATTTAATAAAGCCTTCTTTCTTGAGTTTGTAGGTGTTAAATGAAAAGTTCTATTTTTATTTATTTTATTTTATTTTTTTTACATTTATACAGGCTATAGCACACTCTTTAATCTTAATTTCTGTGCAAATATCCATTTTTCCTTCTTTATTCACTAAGATCGAAATTTTCCCATAATGAAGGGAAAAATGTCATAAACAACATATAAAGACGTTACCTTTTTTGTCCTAGAAAAATAGTTCACACCAAGGTAGTATTAAGTACAATATTTAGACATTAATTCTAAGGTGTAATATTTGAAAATTGAGTAACAGTGACACCTACTGGAGTGGATTTTATTTTTTTTAAAAAAAATTACACTACAATTGTGATTTGTAATAAATTTAGTAGACTTATTTTTTAAAAAAGTTTTGTTATTTATTTGTCTATTTTTCTGTGACGAGTGTTTTTTATTTTTTTTATTTATTTTTTCATATTTGCAAGATATCCACCGTCGGCAACAGTGAGTAATCCCTCTCGTTGAATTGTAGGTACCTTCAGCAACAGTGACTAATTCCCCTCACTGAATGTAAGCACCTCAATAGGCGGGACAACTGGTCAAAGTATTTAACGTTGCTCCATACCTATAACGAGGTTCAAACCTCAAACTATAGTTAAGGGTGGAGGAATCCCTTTCACTCCACCATGATCAATGACGAGTATCTTTTTATTATGTGGAGCAGACTGATTTGTGTCCTTTGGGCCTCGAAGAGATATGAAAAGACAAGTTCTAAGATCAACTTTGCTTTTCCATGTGGATTGTCTGAATACTCTAAGGACTATGGACACAAGTGATAGACCAATCGTTAATCTATCTTCTCATGGGCTGATTCGTTGTCAATTCAAAAACTTACGATTAGCATTTCCCTCTTCTTCTTCTTTTTTCCCTTTTTTCAGGGGAAAATCAATAGCATTTCTTTTAAGTACATAAAACTAATGTAAGTTGGCATTTCTTAAAGAAGTAATCCCTCTGTCACAGTGGAAAAAGAAATACTCTCACGGTTCCTATTGTATAAAAATTGAAAATTCAAATACTACAATCATTTTGAAACAAATAGTACTCCCTCCGTCCCATAATTATTGTCCAGTTTGAGTTTTTATTTTTAGTACAAATTGAACTAAAAATGAAAACTAAAAGTGGACAATAATTTTGGGACAGAGGGAATATTATTTTCTAGTTTAATAAATATGACAATTCTTGTGTACCCTTGATATAAACCCAAAATAGAAAAGAAAGGTAGAAGAAAAATGTAAAATGTTTTCGTTCCCAGAAATAATCACGAACCATTTTAGTTTTGATATGCAATCAGTTAATTTCCATTTTCCAAATCTCATTTCCCGCAACCAATTGTTTAAAATCTCAATATAGTACCACTGTTTTTCACATTTTAGAAGTATTTGTAAACTTGCAAAACGAAATCTGTGTAAAAAGGATATCAATGCAAATCGAAATCTTTTTGACACTAGCTAGTAACTTGACAGATGTTTTTATAGTTAACAAAAGCTAAAATAACACAACCGTATAGAGATATTCTAATACATTAATGCACCTATTTATAATTTTTTTCAAAACAATAATCATATTTTATTTAATAAACAGATTAAAAATATAAAATTGTACAAGAGTTGAATAAAGATCAACTAAATCTAGCCATGGCAGAAGAAAGCAAGAGACATATTCCATGAACAATTTGATATCTAACTAACTACACTAATGAAGTGGGAAAATATTTTACAGTCTAGAACTACAAGATGAATCTTTTAATACCAAGATTTTGAAGATCTAACTTAAACTACTAATGTGAAATCAATCTTTAGATCTTTAACACCTATAAAATTATATCAACAATAAATCTGTCTATTATGCTCTCGTTCACTTTCTGTAAATCCACCGAAAATCCGTTAAAAAATTCACCGTAAAATGTTTTCCATTTAACCGGATCCATGAACGAGAATTTGCACTAAATATACCAAGAAAATTTCTCAAAGAGAGATAATATATATATATATATATATATATATATATATATATATATAAAACCTTTGAGATATGAAGGCGAATTTCATATTTGAATAGGAAAACACTCAAAAATGAGTAAGCCAAAACTCCTACTACAAAAGAGTAACAGAACAAAAAAAAATAAAAATGAAATACACGTTTTTAAAAATCGTGTAACATAAATTGTTTCTATAATATCTATGCTCTAACTAAGTACTCCCTCCGTCCCATAATTATTGTCCACTTTGTCGAAAAAATTTTGTCCCAAAATTATTGTCCAATTTGACTTTTTATGGATCAAGTTACACATTTATCCTTAGTAAAAAACATTATCCATAAAATCTTAGTGGTTGAACAATTACTTATGTAGGGGTATATCCGGTTATTTAAGGTAAAATGTAGTTAAGTTTGACCAAAAATAAAATCTTTCATTTTAGTAAAACTGGACAATAATTATGGGACGGAGGGAGTATATCATTATGAAAGTATTATAAGCAACCAAAGGAACACGAAAAACAGACAATGGCAATAGCCTAATACATTAACACGTATCTTTATTATCGCATATCGCAAAAAATGTTTAACTGTATCCGTGACCTAACAATGTATCATCATCATGCATGAATCTATTTTCAAGTAACCAAGGAACACGAAAAAAGAATTCAAGGAAGCTATGATAGATGCTGTTTGTGTAGTGGACCACGTACGTACCCCCAAAATCAAATATGCTAAAAAAAAAAAGGAACCAGCATGGTACAAGGTACACACCATGGATGATGCTCTTTTCTCTTCTGGAAGAAGTGCAAGTTGATGGGAGTTTGTCGTATCAAAATTGTACATTGCATGCGACATTATTCTTTTCTTTTTCTTGTTTTTTTTTTTCAAGAAAAGAATCTAAGAACAAAGGAATCAAAACATTTAAAAAAGAAAATAAACATAAGTGTACGGTTCAACGTTAACAAATTATCATATATCATCATCATCATATGCTTAAAATCAAGATAAGGGTTCCTCACTTTCCTTTTGAATAGTAGTAGTTGAACTTGACATATTCCAACCCTAAAAGAAATTGAAAAATCACTATCAGATCTACTTATCTTGAATCCAATATTATTGCTATCATTCATCTATGCGCCCGCAGTTATGTGGCATGTCCTTGGCCATTTGCAATGTATTTATCTACGAATCTTGTTTTCAGGTTGAAATTTGAGAATCTCCAAGGTACACCAAACCATATGGAAAAAGTTTGGTAAAAGTCATATTATGACCTAAAAATGGAACTCCATCTGTTCCAAAATTATTTCTCAATTTGAGATTTCACTTTTAATATAATTTAAACTAGAAATGGAAAACCAAACTAAATAATCATTATAGGACGGAGGGAGTACATCAAATAAAAGTTCTCTTTTTGTAAGAACGAAAAAGAGTTATGATTCTTCATTGTAATCACTTGCATTGCGAATACTTATTAGGAATTGCTTTTCCATAAAGATATTTATCATTTAGTCCATCTATATACCACCGAGGCCAAAAAAATTAATTGCAAAAGTAATTTATCTATGACATCGTGTATGACTGTGTTACTGGTGATATCTTTTGAAAATCTCTATAATGTGTCTCGTCCATTACTTATTAGTTGTTATTATTATCACGTACTAATATAAGTCTACATTTTTGTGAGGATGCTAGCATTTTATAGCACAAAAATGTAGTATCATATCCATATTTAAGGAACCAAAAGACAAAAAAAACAATAGTGTGATCTTTAGCTTGTTAATCTCTTTTCTATATATTTAACAAAAAAAGCAGAAGAAATAAATAAAGCAGTATCTCGCGCTGATTGATTAACTGCTTTTCCTCGATTGTTGTAAAGAATAAAAGATTCCATGCGACATTGGTGGATAGGTACGCTCCACTATCACAAACTCCTTTCTGAATCTCTGTGGTCCTTCAATATATACAGCTAAATTTGGGATGTAGAAACCTAAAAAGTTATGTTTCGATCGTTTTTTTAGTGTATGGTTTTAAGTATTTTTTGTTTAATTAAGAACGTAAAATGTATATTTGAAATGTAAAAAAGTATGTTGAAATGAAATAATTATTTATATTTAATTTTGAAAAAAATTAATGAAAAATAAACCAAACAGAGATATAAATATTTAAGAAAATAGATAGAGTATTTTTACTACTTGCAGAATAATTTAAGAACGTACAATAGATGAAATGCATTTAGTTTGTGAAAGTGAATTCAATCACTGCTACTGTCATTTTTTCTTTTTATGATGAAAAGGGGGAAAAAAAACTTAATAAGAAAAGGATCAATAAAAGAATATTAGAAAAGAAAAGTACTAGTAGCAGAAATTAAGTAGAATAATAATAATACTCACTCCATTCCAAAATAAATGTCATCTTACACTTTGTATATAGTTTAAGAAACTATTAATTATGATAATAAAATTACCTGAATATCCTCAACTAACCCCATTAAAACAATGTCTACCAATAGTATTAATTCTTTTGAGGGTAATTTTAGAAATTTTGGACAAAAAATGCATTGAAATGTGAGAACGATATTTATTTTGAAATTTTTTCATTTTGTTAAAACGATACTTATTTTGGAACGGGAAGAGTAATAAGTTTCATGTAATTTGAAAATGAAAGAAAATTCGATGGCTTTCTTTTTCGTTAATCCTGGCTGTTGTTGATTTTTCGCCGTGTTTTTTCTTGGAGTACAAACACATAGGATTCCGGACGTACCACTGGAGAGATAGGTACGGTCACAACCGCACGTTGATCGGGGCCCCACCCCGGACGCGGTCTCCCAGAAGTTTCCTCTCTCTCTCTCATATTTCTAGTCGACGACGACTTTCGTACGTACCTCCGGTACGTTGTGTTTTTGTTCTTTTGAGGTGGTGGAACCGGGCATTGTCTCTATCCGGGTTCCCGGGTCCATATTTATCCATTTCCCATCTTTGTTGACTATTATTTTTCCTTTTATGTGCCCATTGTTTTGTTATTAGTAGTATGGTTACAACTTACAAGACTTAAAAGATTGTTAAACCACTCTACTACTCACTAATAAAACCGCTCATGATTATTCAAATCCTCATCTACCTTTGACATGATACCATGTTCATTATTCATTCCTACCTACCACTGATGGTTAGGTTTTGGGTTACTTTTTCTGTTCCAAAATTATTGTCCAGTTTAATATTTCACTTTTAGTATAATTTGAACTAAACATAAAAACTCAAACTGTATATTAATTATGGAACGGAGGGAATATCTTATTTTTCGGAATTCCAAAAAATTCATGTCTCTTAGTTGATCATCATACTCAAGCATAATTAATTATATATTTACCCAGTCTATTTATTTCGCCGGTAAAAATTAAACCCCATACTTCAAAGGCTCAAAATTTGGGATACGTTGTTTAAACTAGTTTGTGTAAAAATAGGTCTTTTAGGCGTGCCTTAGTGGAACTTATAGCTGCTAAGTAAATCTAGAATCAAGTAGGCTGCATTTGAAATGTACTACTCCTATATTTCACATTTTAAATGTTATATAAGAATGCATTTTGACTTCTTGAAAAATGGTTTTTGTGACTGGTACACAACTACATAAAAAAATCGCTATCTCCTTGAAGATCATTTGACGACTAACAATTACTATGACTTTTCCAACAATATTTATTTTCTTTTTAAGAAATTGCGATTAATTTTTTACTGATATCTGCCGTCCTTGTTGTTAATTTAGTAAAAACAACAAAAATGTAACCTAGGGTAGATGACTCTCAAATTCATACTATAAAAATGATTATCTAATCTATAAGTCGGTCAAAAAAATGAAGATGACAATAACTTATCAGAGCTGCTCTAATTTAAATCATTTAACCCTAAATAAGATAAGATTCCCCCCAAATGCACTTTGTTTTTCGTCAAACTGATCAAAGTTCCCACCACGTGATGATCACGTGATGTCTGAGATTATTAATCCCCAGGAGATTAATTGAAAACATCTCAACTTCTTATCAATCAGTCAGTAGTTCGTAGTATTGCCCATTCCCACGCACTCTCTCTCTCTCTCTTCCCAGACCAGACTTCCCCCACCACTTATCTCCTCCGTCCTCCGCCTACTTCCTCCTCCCTCTCTCTCACCCACAGTCACACAGTCATGAATCATCCGGTAGTATTAGAGTAGCAAAATCCCGCCAGTTTTGCTGCGAGGAAACGAGAAGACCAAAAGGAAAAAAAATGAAAACCGTAATTCGGAAGAAACGTTTTGGGTCAAGTCGTGCAGTGTCTTCCTCCACCTTAGAACCCATCGTAAACCTCCGTCTTCTCTTCCTCTTCGTCCCTACCTAAAACACACTTTTTTTTTTTTTTTTCAAACCAAAAAATATCAGAAATAAACCTAGAAGAATTCCACTGTATATCTTTCTGTAACACACATGGAGGATGATGATGCCCCGGCTGAGATATTATCACATTTGAATGAAGACCTTTTGACCCGAATTTACGCCTTCCTCTACCACCAGGACCACCGCGACACCAAATCATTTCGCGCCACGTGTAAAGCCTTCCTCCGAGTTGACTCACTCGTTCGTACTCACCTCAAAATCCTCCGCCCCGAGTTTCTCCCCCGCTTACTCACCAAATTCCCTTCCGTCTCCTCCCTCGATTTCTCCGGCTGCCCCCGCTTCGACGACGGGGCGGTGGCCCTCCTCCTGCGAAATGGGTCGGGCCGTATTTGGGCTCCGAGGTTGAGGAGGGTGGTCCTCAGGCGTTCCTGCGGGTTGGGTTATCATGGGCTCGGAATTCTGGTTCGGGCTTGCCCGTTTCTGGAGGATTTGGACGTTTCTTTCTGCTGTGCGTTTGGTGATTTGGAGGCGGCGGCTATTTCGTGCGCGGCCAACTTGAGGGATCTGAAACTGGATAAATGTCTCGGAGTCACTGATGTTGGTTTGGCTAAGATTGCTGTTGGTTGTCAAAGTCTTGAAAAACTTAGCTTGAAATGGTGCTTTGAGATCACCGATCTTGGGATTGATCTTCTGTCCAAGAAATGTTCCACTCTGAAGCTCCTTAACATCTCTTACTTGAAGGTTCGACCAATTCTTTCGGGTTTTAATTAACTTTTAATCGTATGCTTGCTGTTGTTGATAGCTTGAGATTGTTTTAGACCTTGCATGCAGTTGAGAGTTTGCTCTTTTTTCATGTGTTTATTACTGTTGGTGTTGTAGATGACTGAAAAGTGTTAAATTTCATGTAGGTAACCAATGAGGCGCTGCGGTCGATTGCTAGGATGGAGAGGCTGGAAGTATTAACAATGGTTGGTTGTGGAGCTGTGGATGATGGTGGGCTCATGTATCTCAGTACTGCATGTCCTTTGCTTCAGGTTAGTCTCTCTATGTGATTTTAGATCTTGGCTTGGGGGATGAAATTAATTTGCTGAGAAAAATCTTCGAAGCTTGTTTCCTTTCTTCTTCCTCTATAATTGCTTCTTAAATGCCTACTGTATGTGTTACTGTTTTCTATTATTTCTTGTAAACTTGAACTTTTTGGCTTATATTCACATATAAATAAGTGTCTGCTATTAGTACTTCCTTATATGTTCCTTTTAGGCCTGCTGTTGCCTTTCTTTGTTGTTTCATTGTGTTTATCAATTTAAATTTTGCTTTTAACTGTTGGTTACTACTTTTTGATTCTCTGGTTATCAAATTTTAATGTTCAACTGTATGGGCCGCTGTTGGTGCTTTCTTTGTATCCGTCTGAGCTAATCTTCTTTGCTCCTCATTTTGACATTCTACTTTGAAAGGGTATTGTGTTCCTGAACTCTTCAATTGTGAATCTACATGATAGTGAAATCTAAGATATTCCGGACTTCTGGATAGTGTTTAGTGTCTTAGTAGTGTTTCCTCCCCCCCCTTTCTCTCTCTTTCCTTTTCTTTTCGAGAGTGTATGGAAGGGTCTATTCATGATTTAAGCACCACCTGCGAAATAAGATGAAAGATGTACCATCAGAAAAGGCTAAAGAAAGAGAGGGGGGGGGGATAGAGGTAAGGCTGATGAGAGGCAAATGGAAGCCTGTTTGCATCGAGTTTCATATCAAAATGTGATGCGAAGATGATGGGGGTTCTATAAGGAAAGGTGTATTTTGGGGTTGTGTTCTTATATCCTACCTCAATGCTTAGGCAACCATTTCTTCTTAAAGGAAAACTGGTTTTGATCTTTTTGTTTTGTTCAATTCGCTGAAAATCATGGCCGAAGTAAAGGTGTGGTACTGACCCATTAAGGTTATGCATCTTGGGCGGGAGAAGATTGTTGGTGTTTAGAACATAGAGTGCAAGTGAACTTATGTTTCCTCACTGATCTTTCTCAACGTTGCTGTGAAAGGTGTAATATTTGATGTTGGCCAATGTTCTAAATGTGGAGGATAAAGGTGTTTTGCTGTAAAAATAGGTTATTGTGTAAAGGTTTTGGTTTTACGAAATATTTATGGCCAATCACAAGTGAGTTAAGAAATGCAGGTTAAGAGTTGTATTTAGAGGACATTACTTTTCAAGGAAAACAGTGGGTGGTTTTGGGAAGTAATTTATAATATTTTAGTACTGTAGGTACTTTTTCTGACAAGCCTGATTACTCTAATTGATAAAGTGATTTAATATTGAATATCAAAATGATGGTCTGTCTAGTTAACTTGGATCTTCTACCATTTTTCACTTATATGGAGTCTTCATTGACCATAGGGAGTGCATGAGGACAGTCATCCATGAATTATTGATTTACAAAATATATTGCATTTTGGACGAACTACTTTATTAACATGAACTTTTGTCTTGCTATATTTCAAAGTGTTGTATGAAGAGAGGAAAATAAAAAAAAGGTTTATTCATACTCATTCAGCTGTTCAGTCTGCCAAGAGCTTTAGTCACATGAGACTTGAACTAGCTAAAGTTAGTGGCATCTGTATTTTTGCTGTGACATCTGGGTGCTGCCTAAAGCCTTTTTGTTCCACGGGATTTCCAACTTATCCTAGGAATTTTTCGTGAGCTCAAGTCTCTGGAAAACAGAAAAAGAGTGTTTTCTTGTAAGATTTGTTTGATTAATTTAATAATATGTCCAAAGCTAACCTCAGTAGTGGGAGGTGTTTGATCTTTTCAGTGTATAGCTATATATTGAGAATTTAATGGTCCTCGCTGTGATATTGATGTTATTATGGTCTCAATTGTATCTTCAAGCTGTGGAAGAAGTAGTAGACTTTTAAATTAAGTTTTAGTTAAACCTTGGGATTGTTTGCAGGTACTGGACGTATCAAGATGTGACAAACTTAGTTCATCTTCTGTTCTTTCAGTGATTAAGGGACGCAGTGGTTTGCTGGAACTCAATGGTAGCTACCTTTTCTTGGTGAGTAATTTTGCTCACATCTTGAATTATCTTGAGAATTCCTTAATCTTGGATAGAAGCTTCAATATGGAATGTGTTTGCAGGATCTGCACTTGGGCTCATTTACCTCCTTGAAGGACTTAAAAAACCTTAAGACACTTAATGTTGATGGCGCATTTATTTCAAAATCAAGCTTTCAAATCATTAGCAGAAGTTGTAAATTTTTGGTTGAGATTGGGCTTGGCAAATGCAAGGGGGTAACAGACAAAGGCATTCTTCAGCTTGTATCTGGATGTACTAACTTGAGGATGTTCAATTTGACATGCTGCGGTGATATCACGGACATTGCAATTTCAGGAATAGCAAAATCTTGCTTAAATCTTGTTTGTCTGAAGTTAGAATGTTGTAATCTCTTGTCTGAGAGGAGCCTATATTGTCTTGGATCTTTCTCCGTCCTACTTGAGGAGCTTGATCTCACTGATTGTTTTGGTGTTAATGACGTAGGTAACACGATACATTTCAAAGCTCTTCACTTACTCTAGGTTCCTACAGTTTTTGGTGTTTTTATCATGATGAAGAATTTAAATAGGTTTTTTTATTTTTATTTTTTTTATTTTTTTAAATCATGATGAAGAATTTGAGGATCTGCATTTCGCATATGGTGCTTACTTTGATCGTCTTTTTTAAGCATCACTTCAATTTGGATACATATGCATTTCTCATTAGTAAAGTGTATCTACTAAATTTTGAACTATGTTACTTTATGTACCGCAACATTAATATTTTGATTATTATGGCTATTCCTAATTAAAGAGTAATTATTTACTTTCTTAAGATTTTAGTTGTTATTGATCCAGGGTATATTAGTTAAGAGATTAATCTAGTTCATTTATTACAATGAGACTTCTATTAATTGAGAATCTAGAAAAGGTGCTTTGAGTCTAAAAAATCAGGAAATAGGTAGTATTTGAATTGAGTCTAAAGAATCAGGAAATAGGTAGTATTTGTTAACGCTTGATGTCCTTTTGTTAGCATTTGGTTCATTTTCTCTTTGGTGAGAACAGCCCAAGTGTTCTCAGTCCTTTTTGGTCTTTCTCTAATACAAGCTAGTCTTTTGTGTCTTCAGGTCTAAGTTATTTGTCTAAATGTTCAAACCTTGTGCGCTTAAAGTTGGGACTTTGCACTAACATCTCTGACAAGGGATTGTCCTACATTGCTTCCTACTGCAAACAGATCTGTGAACTTGATCTTTACCGGTAATTGTTCTAAAGAAAGTTTTTCTCATCACTATAGGAAATAAAAATTTTCCTCTCAAGTGTCACGTGTAATCTTTAATGATTGTGCTACAGGTGTTCAGAAGTTGGCGATGATGGATTAGCTGCATTATCCATTGGTTGCAAGAAGTTGAAGAAGCTGAACTTGTCATACTGCAACAAAGTGACTGACAAAGGGATGATGTACCTAGGCAACATGGAGGTTTTGTCTGATCTTGAACTACGGAGCCTTCTGAACATAACAGGTGACGGTTTGGTAAAGCTTGCAAGTGGTTGCATAGAACTTTCACAGCTGGACCTTAAACACTGTGAGAATGTTGATGATACTGGGTTTTGGGCAATCGCCCACTACTCGCGGAATTTGCAGCAGGTAAGCATCTCAATTTTGAGTTAAATAACTTTGTGTTAAAACCGTTGTTCATAGATTATTCTTGCTGGTACACTTGCATAAAATCTCTTCGTGTGGGAAAAGTTTTATTATTTCTGGGTTAAAACTTACCTAGGTTGGAAATTTACCCAGATTAAAATTTGAGCACTTTTGGCCGGCGAATTACATCAATATACCACAGCTGTTTCATTTTTGTTTCATGAATTCATAGGCTGAAGTATCATAATTAGTTATTCGGTATGGTTGTCCCTGTGAATTTCCATTTTCATACCTACTATATTTTATATCGACTGCATGAGCTGCAGAAGCTCTATCAGGTTTCTTGACATTGGTTATCCATGTAGAATATTTTTTAATGTCCCTAGGTGGATATAAACGACAATGTGTGATGAGCTTGATACATTATGAATCTTTTTTTATTTCATATTTCTGATTAGCTTTTCGTTGTTTTTGTTTGTTGCCTAAATTTTTTCTGTTTTTGGGGCTTACTTTGTGTATTGCACACTATGATCTTATTGTAGTGGTTGTTTTTGTGACACTAAATAAAGCAGTGAGTGCATTCTAAGAAAGCTTGCACTGAGGATTTTGGAACATCTCCCCGCATGATTGTATGCACCTTGGAGTTTAGGAGTAAGCTCTCACTATGCTTTTTCTTCGCAGATCAATTTAAGCAACTGTGCCATTTCAGATGTCGGATTGTGCATGGTGATGGGAAATTTGACGCGACTTCAAGACGTGAAGTTAGTCAACCTTAAGAATGTATCAATAAATGGGTTGGAGCTTGCTCTCAGGGCGTGCTGCGTGCGGCTGAAAAAGGTGAAGTTACTCGCTTCACTTAGATTTCTGCTGTCCCAGGAGATAGTTGAGATGCTAGGAGCAAGAGGTTGCCGGATTAGATGGGATTAGGGTTCTTTACACGTAATGGAGCATTTTTGCATCTTTCTATATACTTGCAACAATGTATTTGTTTTTTTTTTTTTAAAAATTTTTTTTCGTTTATTGGCTTTTTAGGGCAGTAGATGGTTTTCTCTCTTGGAAATTTAATGTATAGAAGGATTAGTGTAACAAAAAGTTTTGGAGAAGTATAAGCCTTGTAATAAATACCAAGTAAAACTCTAAAATTTTTCTGAGTGTAAATTATTACAATAAAAATAATCAATTTTAAGAAAAACTAACAGGTTCAACTCTGATTTGGTTTGAGAATGAATCTTCTCTTGTTGTTCCGTTTTCCGTTTGGTTTACAGTCTGATATTATTACTAAAATACAATACAACTTCATTAAGAAAAAATGATTAGTTGTAATATTAGCGTTCATGGAATTCCGCTTTTTCATCAACAAAACACGATGGATAGATTGATAGTGCTTCCATTCCATTTTAATATCTCATTATTTTGTACTCTTTAAGGAAGCGGACTATTGAGATGGGAATGAAGGAAGTATATAAATAGTGAATTTTATTTGCTCCATGAAGTATCATTGTCTCCGGTTAAAGTTTTACTCTTGATAGAGAAATCTTTTTTTTTTTTGGCTTGTGGAATGATTTATGTAGTAGTATATATACTGAACGTGGCCGATCAATTCCCTTTGCTGCAGTAACCTTTTAAACCTTGTGTACATTTGAAGCTTAGAATTGCTGCAAATTTGCTTTCACATGAATTTTTTTTTTACCAAGGAGCACGTTTCATAGATACCCTCTTTTAGTGCGAACACATACTTTGTTGCCACAAGACAAGTTATATATATGCACTAAAGAATGTTTTTCCAACCATACCATTCAAGTAAGCATAACTTGAACTAACTTCTTTGGAAAAAGCATACTTTTCCGTTGCAGCTATAGATATTCCTTCCTTTTTCATGATTAACACATACAATTTTGGCACTATTTCCATTGTCCTCTAGAAATACAACATATATTTATATTACTATCTCATTTTTATCTGCAAAACTTCCCACAACAACCACATTTTTCACCATGACATACCAATTTAGTAAACCAGTGGTACTACTTGCCAATGTCCTTCTTGTCCTCACCCTTCTAGTTTCAGGCTCACTAGTCCTCTCCCAGGAGACTGTTTCATCAACCGATGAAACGTCCCCAAGCACGAACTCCATGATGATTCAAGCCTGTAACGGCGTTGATAATCATACTTCGTGCCTCGACAAGTTGCAATCGAGGATCACAAACTGGGGTCATAACCGGAACCCAACCTCAATCCTCAAGGCCGCCCTTGAGAACACGCTTAATGAAGCCAGACAGGCCATCGACTCGCTCAACACGTTCACCACCTTCTCTTTCAGTCCTCGGGAGCAAATCGCGATCGAGGATTGCAAAGAACTCCTAGACTTTTCAGTCTCCGAGCTCGCATGGTCTTTAGCCGAAATGAACCGGGTTCGATCCGGTTCCAGGAGTCCTCACTCTGAAGGGAATCTGAAAGCGTGGTTGAGTGCCGCACTGAGCAATCAAGACACTTGCTTGGAAGGTTTCGAAGGGACCGACCGGCGGCTCGAGAGATTCGTGAGGGGAAGTCTTACACAAGTAACTCAACTCATTGGCAACGTTTTGAGTTTGTATACTCAGTTGCATGGTTTACCATTTAAGCCACCAAGAATCAACAACAACACAGCCTTTTCTGGTGTTCATGAAAGCGTGATTTATCCAGAGTGGATGACTGAAGGGGATAAACAGATTGTTCATTCTAGTCCCAACGGAATGCATGTTGATTCTGTTGTGGCTTTGGATGCAAGTGGGCATTATAGATCTATAGCTCAAGCAATTTATGCTGCTCCAAGCTACAGTAATCGGAGGTATATTATATACGTGAAGAGGGGAGTTTACCATGAAAATATTGACCTGAAGAAGAAGAAAACAAACATCATGCTTGTCGGAGATGGGATTGGGGCTACTGTCATCACCGGTAACCGGAACTTCATGCAAGGTTGGACCACTTTCAGAACAGCCACTGTTGGTAAGGGCAACACTTGATTATTACTTTGAGCAAAATTAAATCAATGACTCTTTTTTCTACACTTTGCATTTTGTATTATTGTTGAATTGAAAATAAGTATATGATTTTGAGCATTTGTATTTCAAATGATAAAGTTTTGCATAGAATTAGATACCATTGGATCAGAAATGAAGTAATAAACATGAAAAATACACAAATGCTTTTCATACCACGCATTTCATTTTTAAGGAATAGAATTGATCATTTCACTTAATTTGTAAGCGATATTATGAAGTGAATTCATTGTCTCTATCATTAGTCTTTTACCTATTTTTTGAGTGGTTAAGATCATAAAATGGCAAAAGACATACAAATATACACATGCTTTTCATTGCATTTCATTTTTAAGGAATAGGTTTTCATGGTCATATCACTTAATTTCTTAGCAATTTTACGACAAAAATTCATTGTCTTTATCATTACTCTGTTATCTACGTACTCTGTACATATCTCATTACCCTTTTTTTAATTTCAACATCAATCTATGATGAATTTGGTTAATATATTCAAAGATTTATTAATGCTGCCTCCAACCTAATTAGTGAGTTGATCATAGTACTAAACTTGTCATTATCCCCTCTATTTCCTAGCTGTTTCGGGGAAGGGATTCATAGCCAGAGACATTTCATTCCGAAACACGGCCGGACCACAAAACCACCAAGCCGTGGCGCTTCGGGTGGATTCCGACCAATCGGCATTCTTCCGGTGCAGCATGGAGGGGCACCAAGACACACTTTATAGCCATTCTCTCCGCCAATTCTACCGTGAATGCAACATTTATGGCACCATGGACTTCATCTTTGGCAATGGTGCAGCTGTCTTTCAGAACTGCAAAATATACACTGCTGGGGACCCATTGCCCCTTCAGAAGGTGACCATTACAGCCCAAGGCCGAAAAAGCCCAGACCAAAGTACTGGATTTTCGATCCAAGATAGTTATGTTTATGCAACTCAACCCACTTATTTAGGCCGACCTTGGAAATTGTATTCAAGAACTGTGTTCATTAACACTTACATGAGTTCTCAGGTTCAGCCCAGAGGCTGGCTAGAATGGTATGGGAATTTTGCTCTGAACACGTTGTGGTATGGTGAGTATAGGAATTATGGGCCTGGAGCATCTCTTTCGGGTCGGGTTCAGTGGCCTGGATACCACATCATCAAGGATGCTTCAGTGGCTAGTTTCTTCACGGTGGGAAGATTTATCGATGGAATGTCTTGGTTGCCTGCTACAGGTGTCAAGTTCTCAGCTGGCTTGACTAATTAAATAAGTAGGGATATATTGAGCATTTTAGGAAAATTCTAATTTAATCGACGGGATGACCTTATAATTTTTAGGTTGATGTGAAATTACGAATCAACAATAGTTGAAAGTTGAAATTTTAAGCTGAACCATTCAGTCGGTGGGACATAATTGTATTACTCTTATTCTTTAATTCATTTATAATATAGTCTTTGCTGGGAGTGAAGAAATATCAAATAGTTATAATAATATTTTTATTGCTCGTTTAAATGTGGTGTTATATATCTCAAGTGATGTTTAGTTAAATATGTAGCACCATTTTATGTGGTAAATATAGGCGCTATGCTGAATCATAAATCCAATAATGGGGCCGAAAGGTATAACATCTTTTTATGGGTACGGCAAGAATTTCATATCCAAATTCAAGTGAGTCATTGACTTAATGCTTCTTGATTTATTTATTTATTTTTTTTTAGTTCAAAACATTCTTATATAAATAGGTTGTGTTTGAATGTTTCGTTCATGATACGTATAGAGCCTCAAGGAGGAAATTATTCATCTTTTGTGTTGAGTCCACATCAACATTCACGAAAACCATGCAAACCAAAACTTGCATTTTCTCTATAATCCTTCTCTTCTTCTTGTCTATTAATCATGCATTATCATCACCACCACCGCCAATAACTCCGGCAACAATTTGTAGCTACACCCCTTTTCCATCCTTCTGCCGATCAACAATTCCGGCCGACAACAAATCCGCCACTATACACGATTACGGTCGATACTCCGTTCAACATTCCTTAAAAATGACCAACAAATTCCTATCATTAGTCAATCGGTATCTCAGGCAGCGCCGTCGTTTCGGTTTCCCTCAAAGCACCGTTTTAGCACTCCAAGATTGCCAATCCCTCGCTTCCTTAACCCGGGATTTCTTGTCCAATGCAATCCGGTCAATCGGTTCAATGGCAACACTTCCGACCACCCAAACCGATTCCACCCAAACCCTTCTTAGTGCAGCCATAACCAACATTCAGACATGCTTAGACGGGCTTCAAGAAACGAGTTCGAGCGTCAAGACATCTCTTTTAGCTCCGTTAACGAACGGAAGCATGTCTTACAGCGTTTCATTAGCCCTTTTCAAGCGCGGTTGGGGCGCTGCCGGCCGGCATCGGAAAATTAGCAGTAGTACTAATTACGATCGGATTTTGAACGGTGGGAGAAAGTTGCTACAGAAGGTTGGAATTAATGCGAATGTGAATCAAATGGTGGTTGTGGATCCAAATGGAAAAGGTGACTTTACGAGTATTAATGATGCCGTGGCCGCAGCTCCAAACAATACAGCTGTGAGCAATGGGTATTACGTGATATCCATTGCTGCCGGGGTTTATCAAGAATACGTTAACATTCCGATCAACAAAATGTATGTTATGATGGTCGGAGCCGGAATAAACAAGACTATTATTACCGGTAACCGAAGCGTGGTCGATGGTTGGACTACCTACAGTTCTGCTACATTTGGTAAGCTCGCTTTTTTATTTAAAATCTTTTTTTTTTGGGTGTCCTATATTCCCATAGATTCTTTATTATTCAATTAGCAATTTCTAGTGGTGTTTGGTGCACTTAATTTCTAGGGACTATAATTTTGGCTAATAGCAAATACTTTTTTTTCATCACTATAAGCATATCTCATAAGTGATTAGATCAAGATGGATTAAAAACCAAAAAAAAGAAAAAGAAAAAAAAACATTTGTGGATAAGGAATTCTGATTATAGGAAAAAAAAGAAATACTTACAAACCAATTTATATACAAAGAGTCACAAGATCGTTGTATGTATATGACTTAATCAATGAGAACGTTCTAGTAGATTTATATATTCCATCATTCCAAAATAATGATAATTATTTCTTTAACTGAAATAATTTAAAAGACATCAAATTTTATTTGTAAATGGAAGTAGCACTTTTAATCAGCTTCCTCCTTAAGGGTGCTTTTATATACTTAAAAATACTTCGGAAAATGGTCTAGCTAGGGTAAAAACTAAAAAGCGGGGGAAAGACAAAAAGAGGAGACAAAAACAAAAAGAACTAAAAGCCTTGACGCAGAATACTAAATTTCAGCCTTCCTCTCCACTTATCCAACGTACGTAAGATACATCCTCAGTTTCGAGTTTTCTTTTGATTTTGTCTATCAACTTCTATTATAATTCTTCAACCATACACTATTATAAGCACCGATATAAAGTATATGGTGTATTGGTGTGTGACAAGTACGTCATTTATAATGTTTGGTGACAAAGTACCGAAAGTGCGTCATTTATATACCTCAAAGGCTTGTGCTTGAGATCATAAACTTTTTGTTGGTTCTTACAAATTTATTATAATTGTAGCTCGATTTGAGTGGGGAAGAAACTCAAATCTGGATCGAGTAGTATGAATTACGAAGTCAATAAACAATGATATCGGATAGACCCTTGCCAATTCATGATCAATATACTAGTTAATATATACGCTACACAGTACACAACTACACATTACCAAATTAACCGACCTCTTTCCAAAGTGGAAGACACCACACTCCTCAAATAATCAATCTTCTGATGCAAATGACAGAAAGCATGCACACAAACACTAATAAGTAGCACAAAATTTAGTGGAGGAGCCACGGCCTCCACTTCCATAAATTAAATTAAATGGTAGGTCTAGGAATTTCGACTTCTTCTTTGTTTTTTTTTTTGTTTCTTTAATTGAAAATCTAGCTAATTGTCCATTTGATTGATCTCTTATGTCTCCCTCTTTTCTTAGAGTTTGAAATTGTTAATATAGTTTCGTAGATAAGATTATACATGTATCTTAACCCCCAATCTATATTCATAATCTACTTTGTATTAATATGTTCTAAGAAGATCCTTAATTGACTTGCAATTCAAAAATGTTGAGGTACGTGACCTTTAAATGTGTTGGTAAGAATTAATTCTAATAGACCATATTTGATGGTTGTTGCTTGTAACATATACACAGCTGTGGTGGCGCAAGGCTTTGTAGCCGTGAACATTACATTTCAAAACACGGCCGGAGCCGCAAAACACCAAGCCGTGGCGGTACGAAACGGGGCGGACATATCCGCATTTTACGGTTGCAGTTTCGAAGGATATCAAGACACATTGTACGCACATTCCCTAAGGCAATTCTACAAGAACTGTGACATCTACGGAACCGTAGACTTCATCTTCGGTAACGCCGCGGCGGTTTTCCAAAGCTGCAACATCTATCCTCGGGTTCCAATCCCGGGCCAATTCAACGTGATCACCGCACAGGGCAGGACCGACGTAAACCAGAACACGGGGACTTGTTTACAGAATTGCACCATCCGGGCTGCCCCGGATTTGGCCGCGAGTAACGGAAAGATCCAAACGGTTTTGGGTCGGCCCTGGAAGACATATTCTCGAACAGTTGTCATGCAGACTTTTATGGATGGATTGATTAGTCCTGCGGGTTGGGCTGAATGGTCCGGGAACACTTCGTTGGATACGTTGTATTATGCGGAATATGATAACTCGGGTCCTGGATCCGTGATTGCGCGCCGGGTTACTTGGCCCGGTTACCATTTGATTAATGCCACTGATGCGGCTAATTTCACTGTTTCTAGTTTCATTTCAGGAGATTACTGGTTGACTCAAACTGGAGTTCCCTATGCTGGGGATCTGGTTTAGTTTATTGGGCTGCTCAAAAATTGTACATTGCATGCAACTGGTTAATTATTAATGTGTGAGAAATTAATTATACCGCAATTCTTCTTTGCTGTATTGTTAGTTCGTAGTGTAATTTTATTATTTCCTCTTTCTCAAAAAAAAAATAAAAATTACATTGAGATTTGAAATTTGTACTAGTACAAATCTCAAAACTTAATATGAACTATTTTTTTTTTTAAGATAGAGATAGTATTAGATTAGATTGATACCCTTCCTATTTACAAAATATTTTATTTCATTTGTTTTACATTGTGAATGCTTTTGAGAATAGGAATGGAAAGGCCCCAATACTTTTTCTTAATATGAAGGAAGAAATATAAACTTTGCACATCACTGTTGATAAATGATAATGCAAGCAAGTCCAATCTAATCGATCAATCTCTTCATTTTATCGTATCAATAAAAAAGTTCTTTCCAAATGCCAAAAACACTCTTGATGATAATGAACTTTGACTAACTCTTAAAAATATCATGTATATATGTCGGTTTAGTCATTAATTAATTGAACACCGGTTTTGAGTTATATAAGCCATGTATCCATGTATCACGCAATTTCCTCTTCCTCCTGAGCTGGTATCATGCAATTTTTTTTTTTTAATTTTTTTTAATACCAATTATTGGTACAAGGTATCGTGCGGCACATTTGACATCTCATTCATACATCCAACTTGAAATATACTACTAAAAGTTCACCAAGTGGACTGAGATCGAAACACGTTATCAACAAAAGAATAAACGAATGATGGTTGACTTGACTTGCTTTTACACACGGTTTCGATCCTTTTTTTCGCTTCCAAAACTTCTTATGTAAAGGGCCGTCATAAGTAAAGTTCGAGCAAAGGCTGACATGAAAACCACTTGCATTTTCTCCCTTCTCCTCATCCTAGGAGCAGTATTGGCCTTATCTGCCATTGCCGCTCCTCCTACTCCTCCTCTTCCAAAATATGTGAAGGTTAACAACGCAACGATTACAAAATGGGTGATTGTGGATCCTAAAGGGAAAGGAAACTACACCACGATTGGAGCTGCATTGACTGCGGCTCCAATCGCAGTTTCCAATACAACTGGCTACTATTTGATCATCATTGCTAAGGGTATCTATAACGAATATTTAACCATTGCGTCCAACCAAACGTACATTATGCTGTACGGTGCTGGTATTGGCCAGACCATCATCACCGGTAGCAAAAGCATCAACGATGTATATTTTTCTGCTACATTTGGTAAGCTCGCTTGTGTTCGGTTTCTTGATATTTATCTATATGCATAACATTTTAATATTTATTATTTATTTATTTTTTGATAACACAAGAAAAGATTTTACAGGAGAATTATAAGGTAACACGCATTAAAGACATCAGATCCAAACTTTTTTTTTTTTTTTGGGTTATGAAATGTGAACTAAGTCTTCAAATTTTAGATTTTAGTATTGAGTGTTCAGATTTCAAATTAGGTGATTATCAAACAGCGCCTTAATCGCATCGGAGCTGTGTAGTGCGAGTTTTCTGTAGTGTTATTTGGGAATCATTAGTTAACGAGATCAAGAGAGCATATGATGTGTCATGAAAGAAAACTTAATAAGTTACGAGTGAAGATCATCACCTAACTCATTAATAATGTACTTATCATTAATAATGTACTTATCAATTATGTACTCATTTTGATTTTATAGATATAGAAAGTAGTTTCTACTTCTTTTTGATTAATCATTTTACAAATTCACACACACACGTGTAAAATGTTCTTGGTTTACAGCTATTGAAGGGAAAAATTTTGTTGCTCAAAGGATAACCTTCAGAAACACTGCGGGAGAAGGAAAGAATATTCAAGCCGTCGCCGTCCGAAACGAAGGAGATATGTCCGCATTTTACTCGTGCAGTTTTGAAGCATACGGAGCCACATTATATACATTCTCCGGCAAGCAATTCTACAAGAACTGCGACATTTACGGAACCGTGGAAATCGTCGTAGGCTTCGCCGCCGCGGTTTTCCAGCAATGCAACATCTACTCCCGCGCTCCGCCGCCGGGCCAGAACAGCACCACCGTCGCCGCGCATGGCCGAATCAGTGCCGATATACCCACTGGGCTGGTCTTCCAGAAGTGCGCCGTCGCTCCGGCCCCAGGCTTGCCGTCAGACGTTGGGCCGCCGAAGACATTCCTAGGCCGTCCATGGGGATCATTCTCCCGAATCGTGTTTATCCAGTCGGTTTTGGGCTCGTTGATTGATCCACTTGGTTGGACAGAATGGTCCGGCCACCACGGGTTGAAGAACAAAGTGTACTACGTGGAATACAAGAATTCCGGCCCCGGAGCGGCCACCGCCGGCAGGGTTACGTGGCATGGATACCATGCGTTCACCAACCCGGCTAACGTCACTCCTTTTACTGTTGAGAATTTCATAGAGGGGAAGAAGTGGTTGCCTTCCACTGGAATTTCAACTATCTATGGACTGAAATAAGGGAATAACTTGATCATTAAATAAGGGAATAACTTGATTATTAGGTCGACAAAAAGTGCACCTAGTTTCATCATTTCTTTTTTTTTTTCCCCGAAATTTATAAGAGGATCAAACCACGAAGAACTCTTGGTCTTCTTCCCTCTTTCAAGTCGAGTCTCTATCCATTATACCTGGGGTACCATACTCCCTCTCCTATTTTTTGCACTACTAGTTCTTATTGTACTTTTTCTTTTTACTTTTTCTAATAATCTTCCTATTATTTGCAAGTTTAGTCCTTGTCAATTTTTTTTCTCTCTTCCAAAAAACATCTCTAATCTTTAAACAAGCATATCTCTTAATCCGTGAAAAATTAAAAAATGTGTTACACATGAAATTTATTGTTCTCGTCGAGATTTATCCAACAAGATCCATAGTGAATATTTTTTCCAGGCTTAAAAATGATTAAATTCTGATGGGTAGAATGAAGGTGGATATCCAGTTTTACAAGATGGATAACCAAGTTATTTTAAATTGGTTATCCGTTGTGTTCATGCTGATTATCCAACCAGTTTGAACTGGTTATCCAACTTATTTGTACTGGATACCATCCATTTGGTTTGTATGCCTATCAAACTTGTTTGTAATGGATATCCCACTTGTTTGTACTGGATATCCATTTCGTTTGTACTGGATATCCAACTCGTTTGTACTGGATATCCATCCATTTGGTTTTTCTTTTTATTATTAATTTTTTTAAAAAAAGAAATGGTTGTCCAACGCGTTCATATTGATTATCCAATTGTTCTATATAGATTATCTGACCATTTTTTTCCCTACTTTTTGCGAAAATTTTGGTCCAGTTTTTTTGTACTGACTATCCAACCGTTTTGTATGCCTTATCCAATCATTTTCACTGATTATCCAAACATAATTTCTCTTCTTTTTTTTTTTCTTTTAAGAAAAAATCTGTCCAATGTGTTCATACTGATTATCCATCCGACTTCTCGGTGATGGATGGTTATTTGACTTTTTTTTTCCTTGCTCTTTTAATGAAAATGATTGTTCGATTTTTTTTGTACTGGTTATCCAACCAGCTTGTATTACTTATCCAATTATTTTCAATGATTATCCAAATTGTTTGTAATGCTTATCCAAATATTTTATTTTTTATTCTTTTCTTTTTTTTTTTGAAGATGAGTGAATGTAAAAACTATGACTGGATAACAAGTACAAACAAAATGGATAACCAGTCCAAACCGGTTGGATAGATCTCATCGAGCACTATAAAATTTATATATAATTCGTGTTCTGATTCTTTACGGATCAAGAAATATATGTAATACAATAATATCAATCTAAACTAAGTTGGTTATCCATCTTCTTTTTTCTTTTTTTTCTTTTTTGAAAAGCGAATGTAAAAAATATGATTGGATAAAACAAAATAGGTAATTAGTCCAAACCGGTTGGATAATCAGTATAAACACAACGGATAATCATTTTTCAGTTTATTCATTTCTGCCAATAAGATTTAAATGCATTTAAAGTTCAAAAGAAATATTCAACATTGATCTTATCGGATATATCTCGTGGACCATTATAAATTTCATATATAATTCTTTACGGATCAAAAGATATAAGGAACACAACAATATGAATTCTTTACGGATCATATAGATCTCGTCGAGCACTATAGATCTCGTCGTGTTATAATTCTTTACGGATCAAAAGATATAAGGAACACAACAATATGAATCTAAAATAAGTTGGTTATCCATCTTCTTAAACTGGATATCCAATGTGTTTATATTGATTATCCAACTTCTTTGTGGTGGTTATCTAGTATTTTTTTTTCTTGCTCTTTTATGAAAATGGTTGTCAAACTTTTTTGTTACTGATTATCCAACGTGTAGCACTGATTATCCAATTATTTTCTATTGATTATCCAAATTGTTTGCAATGCTTATCCAAGCATTTTTTCTTTCTTTCTTTTTTTTTTTGAAGAGTGAATGTCAAAAATATGATTTGATAACAAGTACAAACAGAAGGGATAAATAGTCCAAACCGGTTGGATAATCAGTAGGAACACAACGGATAACCATTTTTCAAAGAAAAACGAAAAACATATTTATTCATTTCTGCCCGTAAAATTTAAATGCATTTAAAGTTCAAAAAAAATATTCAACATGGATCTTATTGGATAGATTTTGTCGAGCACTGTAAATTTCATGTATAATTCATATTCTAATTCTTTACGGATCAAGAGATATATGCAATACAAGAATCTTAATCTAAACTAAACTGGTTATCCATCTTTCTAAATCAGATATCCATCTTATTCTGCCCATCGAAATTTAGTCTTTTTTAACTCGAAAAAAATATTCGACATGGATCTTGTTGGATAGATCTCGACGAGTAGAGTAAAATTCATGTGTAACACGTTCTCTAATTTTTTACGGATCATGAGATATGGTCGTTTAAAGATTAGAGATGTTTTTTAAAGGAGAGAAAAAAAAAATCAAAGGGACTAAACCTGTAAATTATAGGAAGTTATTTAGAAAAGTGAAAAAAAGTGTAGTAAGAACTAGTAGTGTAAAAAATAGGAGGGGGAGTATGGTGCCCCCAGGTGCACCCAATAAATTGCCTTCAAGTCTACAGACTAGAAAATAATGTGAGCTCTATTCCAAAATTTAATCTGTTTGCTTTTAATCCGTTTCGCCTAATCTTGGTGTCAAAGTTAATCCTCACAATCTGCAGAATAAAACCTTTTGG